GGGGGGGGGGGGCTGGAGCTCTTACCGGCACAGGTGGTCGGTCCGGCACACACCACGGAGGTTCAGGCAATTGGGCTTCTCCTTGTCTTCATAGGAACAGCTGGGCACGATGGTCTGCCGGCGGCGCTCAGCACACGCCTGGTCTTGGCAGGAGCAGAAGAGCATGCGGTAGGTATACTCGCTGGGCACCCGGTCGAAAAACTGGCGCAGGGCCTTGTGGCACTTGCGGCGGTTGCAGCGCTCAGTGGACGACATCTCACGGTTGCAGATAGAAATGTAGGAGGAGCGCAGCTTCTTGCAGTTGTCATTCAGGTTGCAGGCCTTGGCAGCATCCAGGCAGTGGTTGTTCTTGGCGCTGACCACCGGGTCTGCCCCTGTCCCTGGAGGAGGAAGGAAGAGAGTAGTTCAGAGGCCTGCACAGACACAGTGAAGAACACAGCCACCCACACACCTGAGGATACTTCCCACTGTTCAGCACATTTTCAGAGACTGCTCTTTGCAACTGCTCTAAACCATGTAGCCCTATGGGTTAACTCGCTAGACTGCAAAGTCAGTTTGAACAGCAAGGTGGGTGGTTCAAACTCACTCAAAAACCCTATATAGGGTCTATATAGGTCGGAAGCAACTCAGCAACACTTAACAACAACAACAAAACCAAACTCACTGCCATCAAGTTGATTCCAACTCATAGAGACCCTATACAAGCTTTCCAACACTATAAATCTTTTCTAGATCAGCCAGCCTCATCTTTCTCCCAAGGAGCAGCTGGTGAGTTTCAACCGCTGACCTTGGGGCTAGAGCTCCATGTCTAACCCATAGTGCCACCACGGCTCACTCTACTCATCTGTAAAGTGGGGCTCACTTAACAAGACCTACCTTGTAACTTTGTGGTGAGGATTAAATGAGTTTATATATAGGTCTATAGAGTTCTGCTGTAGTGCTGTTGGATCAACACTAGTCCACTAACAGCAAAGGTGGCAGTTCAAACCCACCAGCCACTCCTCGTAAGCCCTATACAAGGTCGCTATGAGTTGGAACCAACTTGACGGCCCTTAACAACAACAAAGTACTTAGGACATTGCCTGGAATGAGGTAAGCTGTGCTTGTATATATGGTATATTATTAGGGTGATGGTTATTAATCCAAAGTCATCATTAAAATATATCATAAGGAAAGAGACGCAGGATAAGCAAAGCACTGCTTAAAAAGAAGAACAAAGTTAGAGGCCTCTCACTCCCTGATTTCAAATTTTACTACATGGCTACAGTGGTCAAAATAGCCTGGTACTGGTACAAGGAAAGATACATATAGATCAATGGAACAGAATTGAGAATCCAGAAATTAACCTATTCACATACAGCCTTGGTGGGGCACTGTGGGTTAATGAGCCAGACTGCAAAGCCGTTTGAACTGCAAGGTCAGCAGTTCAAGCTCACCAGCTGCTCCTC